AGTGAAATATAGCACATACAATTTTTCAGTTTATACACAATGAAATTTGCCAGACTGGTCATGTTGCATTTGAGACCATATGGTAGCCCAGGAATTAAACTTACCCTCAGGATAGCATACCATTTCCAAAGGTAGAGAACCCAAGGTATTACAAATGGGGTATGCCCAGTCATTTTTAGTAGCCACTAAGTCACAAACAAGGGCCAAAGTTAGCGTTCATATTTTTTTGTGTGTGAAAAATGTAAAAAACAAATTTGAACGCAAATTTTGGTCAATGTTTGTGACTAAGTGGCTACTACAAAAGACTATTTGCAATACCTTGGGATGTCTAGTTTTGCAAATGGCATGTTATCATGGGGGTAATTATCATTCCTAGGCTACCATATGGTCTCAAAGGCAACATAACAAATCTGGCAAATTTCAAGGTGAAAAAAGGGAAATGCAAGTCTTATATTTGATTCTGTAACTTTTGAAAACACCAATAAACCTGTACATGGTGGGTACTGTTATACTCAGGAGACTTCACTGGCACAAATATTAATGTGTAAAAAACAGTTAAAGATATCCTAACGATGATATCGTCCGCGAAAGTGCCGTTTATGTGTGAAAAATGCCAAAAAAACAGCACTTTCACTGACAATATCATCATTGTGATAAGTTTTACTCTTTTGAAACACTAATATTTGTGTTCAGCGAAGTCTCTTGAGTAAAACAGTACCCCCCATGTACAGGTTTTATGGTGTACTGGAAAGTTACATGGTTAAATATACAGCTTGCGAGCCAAATTCTCTGGACTTTGTGCTTAGGTTGTCAGGCAGGTCTCTCATATTGTAATTACTAAAATTACTTAATTATGTAAAAATATTATGTAAATATATTTGTAGAATTTAAATATGTATGTGTATATATATCTGGGTGGGCATATGCAAATTAGTTTAACAAAATCACATTTTTGCCTCATTCCATTTTAAACATGGATTCCTTTGAGTCTGTGTTTGCTGTATACAACAGCTTTGAAACACAACTTAGGAAAAGATGCAAAGCCAGTGAACCACTCATGGACAGCTGTTTCATTGTTAATGCAACTCATCAGCATGAGGTTGGTTACTGGTTTGCTATTGAGGCTTGGTAGTGCTTGGAAAGCAAAAACCAAAATACTTGCTTTTCCCATAGAAATCATAAATTTGCAAAAATCACAAATAGATATAGATACATATATGTATATATATAATGTCATTCTAAATGTATCTTAATTTAAATATATTTGTATATTAATATCAAAATACAGTTAGAATTAATTTAAAAACGTATACAGAAATATATAATATTTGTAAAATATTTTTTATTTTATTTTTACTTGTTTGCACAAATATATATATATATATATATATATATATTAGTACTTTTTATTTAATTTAAAAACTATTTTGCAACTTTTATTAACTTTTTAAAACTTTTTTTTTTACAGGCATGAGGGGGACAGCCTGAGAGTTCAGGCACTGCATAAGCCGGCTATTCCAGCCATGTGATCGCGAGGACCCAGCGATCACATGGCCCAGGAAGGCTGTATCGGGCAGAGGGGGTCTGCCTAAGCTCCTAGACTGACCCCAAGATCGTGACCGCCGGTGTGGAATTGACGGGGATGGCATAGAACACCCGCCGTCCTTAAGGGGTTAATTTATATATAATATAGATTAAGGAACAGTGCGCACATAAAAACGCATTTTAAAATTTTATACGGCCAATTAAAATCCCATATCTCAGCAAACAAATATGTGGATTCAGCACCACAATATGGCCATATTGTGTTAAGCCCACCATTACTTCACAGTACCTCAATATCTGCGGGTTTTACTTTAATGCCATTGTGATAGACAAATTAAATCGTGTTAAATAAACTAAAGTTAATTTTAATAATCTTTTGTAAAAGCATTGTGAACATGTATAATGCAAAATAAAGAGGCTCCTTTGGAGGTGACTACAGAAAGGTATATATTTGAGAAAATTTTGGATAGTAATGTCACATTTATTATAATTTTCTTAAAGCGAGACACATCAAAGCCTTAATTGTTTAGTTTTGACACTGCATTATTTGAATTGCGTTTATCACATTAATTTTGCATTGTATATATTCATAATGCTCTTATTAACAGATTATTAAAATTCGCTTTAGCTTATTTAGGGCTGTTACTATTTAATTTGTGTTCATGTCCTGTTTATTTATTTTCCTTGTTCTCAATAGGGAAGGGGCTAAAGGAACACTCCATTGAAATTTAGTAGATATACCACAAATGAAAAAGCACATGATTTTATTTGGCGGTATTTTTAAAACAACTCTTATCTGCATATTTGCGAGCCCACTCGTTTTTCCTCAGCACTGACTGTCTGTGCTGGGGCATACTCCAGTCAGAGGCTTCTCATCGGGAAGCCTCTGTGCCGGAGGCGTTGGTGTGTGCACATGCAATTGTGTGCACACAATCATAGCTTCTAAGTTTGTCTCAGTGAGCTGTAATACAGCTCATTGGGAAGAGGGTAAGAAATGTGTGTGCTAGCACAATGTGCCTGCCACTACCATTAGCTTATTGGAGCTGGAAGAAAACCTCCCTGGCTTACTTATTGACCACCAAGAATTTGTTCCTGCTCCCAAATATAAAAGTAGCAATTTCAAATTGGACAGGACAGATAATACAGGGGTGCCCAAAAGGCAGGTCACCAGATGTTCTAAAACTACAACTTCCATGACACTTTGTCTTTCTTAAGGCATGCAAAGAATCATGGGAGTTGCAGTTCAACATCTCACTGGAGATCTGTAGGTTCTACAGACAGTGTCTGGATTCCGGATCAATTTCGTCCGGCCTCCG